TATTTCAAAGAAGCTAAATGTTATTGCATATTCAGAACAGTAAATACACATTTACAATAGCAGTATTTCCACACATCAATATCAACAGAGGGCAACTAAGTGCTTAAGATTAAAGCAGAAAGACAAGTCCATACGGCCACAATGGAAAAATTAAAGTCTGCGTTAAAGAAACATCAAGTACTATGTTGATTGTGATGCAGAGACAAGTAGAGGTATATGATCATAATAATAACATAATCACAAACCTGTTACATCAAGTCCCCTGAATCTTAAACATTTAACAAAAAACTGTAACTCAGGGTCAAATGGAAAACAAACCTTTCTCCGACAATGACAGGGTTTATTTTTGAAAAATGTTACCGCTAGATCCCGTCATCTTTATGGCATGGAAGAGAGTTGATGAAGCTGAGCAGTTTGTATGCAAATACCAGTAACAACATCCCTCCTCTTAACCAAACCCTTAACCTCACCAAACCCTGAATTAACATACCACTTATATCCTTACTAAACTTAATCCGTCTCCAATGTAATACTAAAACACTTACCAAATCCACAATGTCTCTTATACTGTACCTTCACCCTTGCCTTCCCCATCTAAGTGGTAACTGCTTCCTGCTTTGTTGCTGATCATTGGCTTATTTAGGCGTACTGTGTGGAACGTGACTTATATAAACTCTATTCCTTGGGAAGAGGAACTGTGTGCTAAATACATTCTTCTTCTATGAATTAAGTCCACCTAGCATTATTACCACTTAAACAATCACCATTTCATTACACCACAATACTTTACATAACCCTAAGGCTGCCTTGTTTTCACTATACATCAGTAAGGCTCTTTTAGTCTTCCATGCCACAAATCCGTTGTAACCAGCGCAACATTTGCTAAGGAAAAATATATCTCATTGATTTGAAACCCCCCTGCTGAGTGGTTGTTTATGCAGCATGTGCCAGTTAACGGTCAAACAAAGAAGACATTAGTCTAAATCTAAATGGCAATCACTTTTTTCTTTCTTTTAATTTATTCATGAACATTTGCATTGTTGAAAGGTCAGCAGGCTATCTTAATAGCTTACCAAGATAGCTAGTCCCTTGGTACCTATTAAGATAATTATCTTTAAAAGTACAACTTGAATCTGCCTTTAAGGTTGTTTCTTTTTCTTTCAGCACAACATAATTGTTTTCATGCTGTATGTAATTCTATCAATATACAAAAGCAACTGTATAATGGAAAGGGTTGTTAAAGCATTAGGTAATAGTGGGTTATGAACATTTTGGACAGCACTACCTAATGTGATTGCAGCTGAATGTACATAATCACAAACATAAAGACAAATTCTTCTATGAAACATTAATCATTTTGAAATGTTTTTTAGTTATCCCTCTATTTCGTTTTTTTTGTTTGCACAAAACAGTTAAGTCACAAAAAGAAACAGCGAGTGACAACAGAAAAAGTCCATATTGTGCACATATAATTATGATTTTACAGAACTAAATACTGCTTTAGTATCGCCTCATTAACGATAACCTCTTTTGATAACTCGTATTAGTGCTTTTATCAGTGCTACGACATATCAATCTCAACAGCAACGTGTCCATATTTAGCACCACCACCTGCTTCTGTAACAGGGTGGGTGTACATAAAGACAGGTCATAGTATCTCTACCTCACATGAGATACTTGTGTGCAAAAACTATGCTTTAAAAATAAACCACGCAGAGCAGTGGTGTAGTCTTTGATGTGCACCTTTTGTCTGTATTCCTGCTACACAATTTTCCCAGGATAGCTATAGTTTTTTTTCTTAGAATTCACAGTCATAAAACAAGTACATATTTCAAGGTATGGACTTAATTGGACACTTGATCTATTCAGTGTGCAAAAAGAAAACAAATAAAGACAGATATCACAAATGGAAAGTGACAGATTATTACATTTAGGTTTCACATGCCAGACGTGCAACCTACATGCCTTTCCTAATAATAGTCATCTAGGTGCATTTCTCCATGTTTACTGTAATACAAGTCATATACCCATTAACGTCACAGTATTTTCTTTTAGACTACACCACTGTTACATAGTGTTAATTTCTACACAAGAATGTAGTACTTTTGTTCATAAGCACTAAGTATTACAAAACAGCATAAACAGCAGACCACATTTTAAATTGTGCTTCTTTGTTTTAAAGTAGCTACACACAGGTTTAAAGTCCTGCCTGTACCACCATCTAGTGGTTGTGGCCCGCTCTGTCCACAACCTGTGCAATGACATTTCACTTATGTGCAACAATATAACGCAGATTCATTAGGTCACTAACGCAACGGACCACCACGACCAACATGGAAGCTTTTCCATTCCAAAGCCTCACAGTTGTACCAATAGTGTATGACTGACAGGTGATATTGTGGAGGTGCATTTAAAGAAAAACAAGAGAAATGATTGCTTAGCACCAAAGATGGAGACAAAGCAGAAAAAACATAGAATGTGGCTAACCAATCAAATAAAGGTAACAAAACATGTTTCATAGCTGGTGGTGAACCTATAGTATAGTACCACAATTGGTATCAAAACAGTACCCAGCTGTAATGTCCATAATATAATTAGTAATGCATACTGTATATATAGTACCTTGGTAAAACAAGGTACTATACAGGACATGCAAAGTTTGACTCTAACATAACAAATAGTTAAATATAATGATTTAATTATGATCCTGTTAAAGAAATTAAACTGCAATAGTAATAATAATCTCCTTTAGGATACTTCAGGGTATTTGTGCTATTGTAGCCTTTTATCCAGCTACAACAACCTCAGTGTCGAGTTAATCAGACATCTCTCCTGAGACTAACACAAAGGAAATGATGATGGCTGGAACCGGAACACTTACGGGCTCTTTTTAACCAGAACCCAAGTCTAAAATGTATAATCAATCAGACCCCAGAGACTTATCAATGCTCCTGGAAAATAAAGACTCATATCTCCCATATACCTAAGTAACTCTGGTTATATTGGGAGGATTTTCTAAAATGTACATGTACACACCACACAGAAATGCTTTTAGTATTTGCCTGGGCCTCATGCCTGCCCCTTCACAGTTATTACCCGCTCATATATTATTAACACTTTAACGTGATAAAGAACTTAAAGCAACACAAATTATGCAAACGTTTTGCGTGATTGTCCCATTTTTCGATAAAATATGCCAATAATTTGAATGCTATAATGACAACAATATTCCACACATAGGGGTCATAAACCATAAATAAACCCCAGAGGTAGAATTTATGAATTCCTATTTTGTCTCACTTGTAGTGAAGACATTGTGGAAATGTGCAGAATTAAGATGACAGTAAGAAAATAAAATGTATATTCTCTGAAATAAAAACTTCCTAACCAGCAACTTCAATATGTGAACACAGTGTCTCACAAATGTACCGCTCTCATCTGTGTGCTTATGTGTATATTCAGGTTGTTTTCTTGAGGATAAAGTGCAAGTGTGTCTCCTCAGTTCCTACACTACACTACCCATAATGCTCATGTGCTTGGTAGTGCAGAGTCCCATCCTGATCTCAGTTTCCCAGAAGGACCTTAACACTGCAACTGCACTGATTCATATGGATTGAAGATATGCACTGTGGAGGACAGCAAGCCACATTGTGACTTTAGGCGCATTCACACTGCGGTACTTTTCCCACAAAGGTTCATGAGAACTTAGTTCATAGGCGCATTCATACTGCGGTACTTTTCCCACAAAGGTTCATGAGAACTTAGTTCATAGGCGCATTCACACTGCGGTACTTTTCCCACAAAGGTTCATGTGAACTTAGTTCATGTGAACTATTTAGTTTGCATGAACTAAGTACAGATCGCGTTCATACTGGAAAAAGTCTGTGGGGGTGGATTAGGCAAATGAAGCCGCTGACGTCACTTGTTCTTCTTCTGCTTTGGGTTTACTGGCAGGCCGCAAACCACTTCATGGCGTATACTGCCGCCCAAAGTCTCCGGCCGGAAGTCCCCGGAGTTGGGGACTGGCTTCAGTAGAAGCTGCTGGGACTCCCAGCAGCTTCTACTGAAGCCTTCCGAGTAAATCGCCAGAACGCCGACACCTCCTCATCTCTACCGCTCCCATGTTTTATTTTGTGTTGCCATAAGTTAGTCTCTCTGCGTTTCTGCGCTGGGCTAATGCTAATAATGCTAATGCGAGGATAATAAAATGGCGGCTTCACAAAACTTTTTGGGAGTTTTACGGGGCGTGGTTTGCAATCCGCCCAGCCAATCAGAAATATAGCTCTTTTCTCACAAAAGAGCCGCTCGAAAGTCCCTGCTCTCTAGCAGGGACTTTCGAGGGGGTAAAAAGGTTCACATGAACTAATTTTAGTACCGGCTCTTTTTGGTGTGAACGCGATAAAAGAGTTCACATGAACCTTTGTGGGAAAAGTACCGCAGTGTGAATGCGCCTATGAACTCTTTAGTTCTCATGAACTAAGTACAGATCGCGTTCACACCGGAAAAAGTACCTGGGGGTGGATTAGGCAAATGAAGCCGCTGACGTCACTTCTTCTTCTTCTGCTTTGGGTTTACTGGCAGGCCGCAAACCACTTCACGGCGTATACTGCCGCCCAAAGTCCCCGGCCGGAAGTCCCCGGAGTTGGGGACTGGCTTCAGTAGAAGCTGCTGGGACTCCCAGCAGCTTCTACTGAAGCCTTCCGAGTAAATCGCCAGAACGCCGACACCTCCTCATCTCCACCGCTCCCATGTTTTATTTTGTGTTGCCATAATTTAGTCTCTCTGCGTTTCTGCGCTGGGCTAATGCTAATGCTAATAATGCTAATGCGAGGATAATAAAATGGCGGCTTCACAAAACTTTTTGGGAGTTTTACGGGGCGTGGTTTGCAATCCGCCCAGCCAATCAGACATATAGCTCTTTTCTCACAAGAGAGCCGCACGAAAGTCCCTGCTCTCTAGCAGGGACTTTCGAGGGGGTAAAAAGGTTCACATGAACTAATTTTAGTACCGGCTCTTTTTGGTGTGAACGCGATAAAAGAGTTCACATGAACTAAGTTCACATGAACCTTTGTGGGAAAAGTATCGCAGTGTGAATGCGCCTTTTCTGTTGTGTTTGTTCTACTTCTAAGAAGCAGTTCAGTATTCTGAAAGCTAGTTGTAGTATCGTGTGACCCTAATATTACAGTTATATGAGCACTGAAATAATTCTGAACATTCTTGTACAGTATGGTGACACTAACCGGTACTCCGTGAGAGCCTTGTAACATTGTCCATGGTGGTGCTTCGTTTTGCAAATACAGTGGAGCTTTGGGAAAGTGCCATCAGGGTGGCATGCTGGTGTGTCTCAGCTGGGCTGCTGGCTGAGAGCGGGCCAGGACAGGGTTACATTCAGCTGCTGGTTGTGTTGGATCAGCGATGTGTGTCGATAGTGGAGGACCAACTCTGTCAGGGATGGGTACAGGTTGTAGGGCTCAGCGAAGCCATACCCAGTGGATGTCCTGTAGATCACACAGTGCTTCACATCCCCATCCAAACTGCATGAGACAAGAAAGGAGGTTATAATAATAATATATGGATATTCTACGGTAGTTAAGATGGCTAGGTCCACCACAGGAAAGGATAGTTTAATCATTCGCTTTTGATAAACAACTTCGATGCATTATGTTTAGAGAGGGACAAAATGTTGTGATTTTTAAATGCTTAAAATATGTAAATTGGGTGTTACTCACACAACAGAGCAGGCAAAGGACCCTTTTTGAGTCTGGCTGTCTCTAATGAGGAAGGTCCCGTCTCTCCTGCCTCTCAGCAGCTCCTCTGCCTCCTTACGTTTCATACCGCCAACGTACCAGCTCCTCTCGTCCTGGTCGCTATCATCTGCCAGAGTGTATGGGCTAAAGGGTGGTTTGGAGGTTAGAGGGTTATCTTAGTTAGGAATTATACAGTATTTGACCAGAATAAATAAGGATACTCACTCTTCTTCATTCCTGATACCAAGCCAATCATCTATCTGGCTTTGTCTTGTGCCTTGTTGGGTAAGCCAGCTGAAACATGGACACAACACGGTAAAGAAGGATATGTACTGCGAGATGTACCCTATCATTCCTGTTTCATTATATGACATTATTCCAGAAGATGATACAGAAGGCTTCTCTATCAAGATAGAAAGCTTTGCATTAAAGCAATTAATATACGTTTCCAGAGTATATCATATGCATAGACTTTCCTCCACTCCACTCTGCCAAAACAAACTATCTTGAACATCAGGTGATGGAGGTTAGACTTACAGCAGGTATTGATCTCTGATCTTCCTGAGCTGCACGAGGTCAGGCTTCAGACAGTTCATTTTCTTATCAACCTCCATGTGAGCCAGCGCTTTATTCCTCAGCTCCTCCTCCAACTTCTTCTTGCTGTTGTGGATCTCCTCCACCCTTGACTGTAGTTCATCTGAATTGCTTTGAATTCTGGGAAGAGAAGAAAAGAGAACAAAGAACTTCAGTAAACACATCATGGTCTGCTAGTTGGCTGTGAGCATGCTGAATGAGTCAGTAGTGACTAGGATACCATAATGCCAGTAAGGCAGTAGTCTATACTAATACCCATACGATACAACGTTAAAAACAAAACACTGTAAAAAAACATGTTATTTGCAAACCCCTAGTACTTGAGGTACACGTGGTACTGTGGAAAACAATTGCTTTATTAGTTCATGGGACATCATTTGATTGGTTCTTGTGATGTTGTTTTAAATACATAGGATGAGATAAACAGAACAAAGTGACAACATTGGAAAATAAATGCTGGTATTTTGGGGCTTACTTGTCTGACTCTGTCCTGCTGTCTACTGAGAGGAACATGTCGATGTATTCTTTGCTGTAGCGTTCTTGCGTTTCACACTCCTCTTCAAAGATCCGTATAATTTCATTGAAAGCCTCTATGGCTGTCTGCTTGCTCTGCAGCTCCTGTGGAGGAAAGGCAACACATCTTACTTTATATTCAAGGCCTTACAACAACTCTCTGTTGTGTTAGACTAATCAGAGGTAAAACATTTATCCCAACGATATTTAGTTTAACAAATAAAATCACAAATAAATTCAGTAAAATTAGGTCTCAATGATTACCTGTGAGGTTTGGTTAAACGTCTCAAACAGACAGTCATACTCTTTGCTCTTCTCTTTGTATTGACCCTGAAATATCCTCAGCTGTTCTCCAACTGCATCAATGTCAACCTCCATCACAACCTGCTGCTACAGATAAGCAAGTACAAACCAAATATTACCAAATCAATTTATAAAGCTCCTTTAATGCGTCTGAACTAACATTACAAACTGTTTGGCACTGTGATATTAATTTACAGTTTTATAAAATAATGTTGACAATTTAAACTAACAGTGAAATGAACTCATCAGTCATTATCCTTGTTTATTTCCCTGCTGTGATTATATGTAGGCCAACAGGATGTAAAAACAAACAGCAACACCAAAACAATAAATATGACTAACAAGGATAATGTTTTTATATTTAGTACTAATATAGAAGTAACATAAGCCGGCACACATTCAATGCTCAAGGTTTATGAACCCACCTGCTGATATCTTGTTATGGGATAGAGGAGCCGTGTGTCTAGTTTAGAGTTGTGCTGGGCCAGTGACTTGTTCTGGTAATACTGGACCAGGTCCACCACCGAGTGAAAGGCCAGTGGCTCAGAAAAGCCGTACTTCGCCCCATGATGGTAGATCTTTATCAGTCTGTTGGTGCCACCTTTCCTGTAAAGTCAAAGCAAAGTTGTTGTTTTTCTCACTTACCATAAGTGAGAAAGGTGATTTTGGTTATGCATATTACAAGTCTGATCTTAATTGATATTTATTTTGTGTTGAAGAGTTTCCACTTGTTTCACACATAAATATTTTTTAAGAAATGTAAAAAATGTATATATATATGTTTCACCTCCTTAAGTCATTCAAGAGACAACTGTTGATATTAGACTTAGCTAAGTTGATCACCATATTTTAAAATAACAATTTCATCCATTTTGAGATCTTTATTTTAGTATTGCATCTCTTTGATAAACACACACTGTTTTCCTAGTAAAGCATCATTCAACTGACCACCCAAACAAAACCATCATTAGATCTTAAAAGTAACATTTTGGCAAAGGGACATTTTGTGTTCCTGGTATCTTTGAATGTGAAATACAACATTTTAAAGACCTTGCAGAACTCTTCTCAAATGTTGCTGGAGCAAGACAAATGTACTCTAATTCAGACATGGGCAGTGTAGGTGCCATAATGCTACTTAGCCCAAGTTCATTATTTGTATTATTATTATTATTTGTTTACGTCACTTTTATTTGTTTGTTGAGGACGTCCGGCAATTGTCACATGGGTGTGGTTTGTCTATTTAAGTCACCTGTTTCATGTCGAGGGGGAATGACAGAGAGTGAGCTTGTGCTGTCATTTTTTCTGTTGACCGTTTTGTCCATAGTTACTATGTTATTATTTTGTTTATTAAATATCCCAAAAACTATCTTGCTTCACTATGGACTTTCTCTTTGAAAACACGCCACAGTTTATAGCCAAGTTTAGCCTCTCGGCGACTCAAACGTAACTGGGGATTGAGCCGCCACAGGCAGTATGTCAGCATCGTTCTTGTTGGATCAGCATACTGTAGGATGAATTTCAGTAATGAAAATATGAGAGGTGTTTGTTATTGGACTTAACCACTGATGTAAATGCATTGTTTTTGAAATCCAAACTGTTCTCCTGCACAGATCTCTACCATTCAACCAACTGTGTCATCTCTCAATCCTGATAAATATTAAGCAGGAGCCAATTGCAAGGTGTAAGAAAGACAGTAAAGCCAACATTGATTAAAGTTGGAGAGTGTTGGTTCCCTCTGACAAACGTGAGACAGATGAATGGAAAAGCACAACTGAATGGAAAAGGGTGTTATGTTGCTCACCACCGGAGCATTGGCCAAAGTCTAATCAACAAAGCTTTATATCTGAAACCTAGTCCGTCCTGATTCAACTCAAATTAGACAGAAACCAGGAAATGTTTAAAGTTACATTATAAAACCAGCAAAACTAAATGTAGACTTTGAAACCAGACAACTAAAATTAGACTTATAATAACTGAGAATAATACCTGACCTCTGACTACATGTACTAGATTTGGAGGGAACACAGCCTTCCCACAATATACAGAGTACTCATAATGACTTATTACATTATCAGCTGCTTAGACACTTCATCAAACATGCAGAGCCCGCTTCTAACAAGCACACACAACATGGAGTTAAAAGTAGTTACCTTAATGTGAGAGTGTATTCCCCCTCAACCTTACTAGAAGCGTCTCGGACCAGGAACGTGCCGTCAGGAGTGTTTCTCATCATCTCATTGACTTCCTCTCTAGACAACCGCAAAAACAAATAAAGTTTTAGAGAGACTTGCAAACAAAATGTGTTTCATATGAATAAAATATATAGATAGTGTAAAAACTAAGCAATTTGCATAAAAAAGATCCTTTACGTATTGTATTAAAGTCGGGATTTGTGTCAATTAATTTTGCAAATGTAATGTTCCGCACCCACAGAGCAGGGGAGAGTCGCTGCTCAGCGTTCAGCTGCTTTGTGCACAGCTGCTAACATTTCGCCCAACCCCATTCTGTGTTTTATTAGCAGTTGGTGCATCAAATCATCAACACATTTAGGAAAATATTCAATACCTTGAGGTATTTCCCCAGTACCACTCTGCCTCGGACAGATGGCTGTTATCAGAGCAGCAGTCACACGCGGCCATCGCTTTGGTTATGTTGTTCTTGGGTTGAGGTTCTGACCACAAAGGAAATACACATTTTAATTACAATAACAGAAATAGTGCCATTCTTGAATTATGAATGGTGCATATATTGCATCGTCTGGATTGTTGGAGACAGATCAGGCTTTAATTTGTCAAAAGACAAAGAATGGTTAAAACCAATACTACAATCATAATCAATAATAGTGTCTCCATCTTCTTATCCTTTTTCATCCATATCACCATCTTCTTATCAATCAACTGTATGTCATTTTTGTTGTGATTTAAAGAAAGGCAATAAAGGAGCTAGGAATAGGAAAAATACAGTAGTATGTGCTAAGACATACATTGTATATTTCAAACTAAAGATATAAAATATGCTAAAAAAGATCTGTTACACTTCGGACAAGCACAACAAAGAGACGTTGGAAAGTACCTCCTTCCTTTACAGCGTTGGTTTTCCGGTCAGTCAACACACCATCCTGATCAGGGGAGGAAAGGTCCTGCAGGAACGCTGTCAGGGTGCGAGACTGAGGCTCGCTGTCGTTTTGCCCCATCTCAGGCTCCAAGAACTCTGCAACATACAAAAGCCACCCAGTGTTGCTCCTGATGTCAGCTGAGGCCGGTCTGTATGTGACTGTCTGCACTCGAGGGGGAGTTGAGCACACACTGCTCGCCCACTGACAACTCCAGAGAGAGTTGTCGTTGTGTTGCTTAGTCTTGCACCATGTGGGAGAGTCTGTCCAGACTAGTCTGCTGGCAGGTGACACTGTCTGACCAAAATACCAGGACGGGCACTCCTCAACACTCGGGCACACTCTGCTACGCTCAGTGCTGCTTAGTGTTCGACCTCGCCTCGCCTTGCCTCGCCTCGCCTAACAAACAACAGCTGTCTGCAGAAAGATGCCATGTGGGCCTGAAGGAATGGAGCTGACGATGTGTTTGTTAGTGTTTATTATCCCTGTGTGTGTTGATGGAGCATTATGAAAGCAGGGGAAGGTGAGAACCTGTCTGTCAGGCATTTCCTAAAAGCATTAGATTTATGTGTGAATTGTTTACTCCTATGCGGCTATGCAACACATGAGCTGATACATGTATGTAGTGAATGGCTTGCTGTTGGTAGTTAATGTAACTCATCCCTTCAGCACTTGTGATGGCATGTCAAGAGATGCATTGAATAGCTGCTGCAGACGAGCTGTATGTTCGTGGAATCATACGTATGCCGTTGTAAAATTAGACGGGGTGTAAACTCATTAACCCAGAACCTACAAACAGAGGCTCTGTTCAAACTTGCCTGGTATATAGACCTAAGAAAAGCTCTGCGTGTAATACATCTTGAATCTTGGTGAGTTATTGAACTCACTAAGCCTTTGAAACTATGTGATCCCAGCTGCTAACATTTCTGGTGGAGTTTTTCAAATTCCCCCGGATAATTTCAGTCTATTGTAGAGTTATGTTATAGCCGTTGGCTTTGAATGATTTGACTTTGTTTCGGAGAAATGTGGATGCTCAGTGACTTCCCAATGGAAATAGTAAAATGTGCTTTGATGTATGTGCAGTTTTGCTGTTCCTTTTTAAAGTTTATAACATGTGCCTTTTGTAGCTTTCATTACATATGAAGGTAAAAAAAAGGCAAGATGATTAACTGCCAAATGTATAGAATGTTTCATATTGCACTGTCCTTCATTTTAAATTGCATAAATAAACTGTTGCAGCCAAGAAAAGGGGCCAATCAGACTTGTGTCAAATTGAGAAATCTAGAAGAACTGCCTCATTTAGTAATATTGGTTGAAGGTATTCAAATCAAAACCAAAATATATAACAGTCAATTATTAAAACTGCTCACTGTATAAACGCAGTTCTATCAAGTTTGAACTGGAATCACCTGGAGGCTTCTTACCGCAATCATTCTTGGATGTTGTAGTTGACTTATTCCTTAAGATTCTATTAACACAGCCTTGTATCTCGCCATTTATTTATTTTAAATGAAGCCATAACATTTTTGTAGTATGTTACAATGATCAGTGATTTCACAAGTTTATGTTATACAAAAACAAAAAATTCTGCCTGTAACATAAATAAAAAGTTTGCTTTTTATTTCAAGTGACATGTCGATTTAAAGATGACATTTTACATAATAAACACAGTTAAATTATTGCATTTTCTATACTATAATGTTTCAAATGATTCTAACTTGATGTGAAGTATGATCAGTATATGTAGGTTCTTTTGTAGAAATATAAATGTCTGGATGCTTATAATTGATTCAGAATAGTAAAAAGTAGGAATCTTGGCATAAATCACTGTTGATTTTAGACAATCATAAACACTGAACATATCACAAATGTCTGAGTGGACTGGTCGTTAATTTAACAGGCAGGGCACATGAAGACGAACCAAACTACAAAACCACCCTAACTTCTATCAACTCATCTCTAACCTTCACATTTTCAATGTATTACTTTTACCAGAAAATGTTCAATGTTGATACCTAAACATGCTGAGTACAGCACCATATCTTACCTTGAACCGCTGGTGAAGGCTCAAACCCGGTAGCCATGGATATGTCTGTCTGCTGTTGTGATTGGTTAAGCGTTGATGACATCATCACAAAAAGTGCAGAATGAGGCTCAGGATTATCCCCCATATGGTTGATGACCACAGCCTCGTCCCTGAGATGGAGGGATGCTAGTGATGACGTTGTGAAGTCAGCTGGCTGGAGCTCAGTGTCCTCTGCGCTGTTTAGAGTTCTGAGCTGGAAACCCTCTTCCGCCATTTTCACAACTCGGACTGAAAAGTGCAGCTAGGTTTTATTGAGGTGGTGAAGCAGCAGGATGTTAGGTGCCACGGTGCTGTTGATCACATAGTATCAGCTTACAGTGACACTCATGGCTGAGGATAGAGAGGGTGACGGTGCTGAGTTCAAGGCTGCCCTGTGTTGTGGAGGTAGAGCATGTTCCTGAGCCTGAACCCCCGCTTTAACATCATCTCAGAGCAGAGCCATGACATAGCCATGAGATCATGTGTATCACTTTGATGTACTTAGTGGAATTTTCTTCTGTTCTGCTTCATAGTCATTCTAAAGGGATTCATACCATGGAGAACAACCACAGTTTGTTGCCTGCTTCATTGACGACTTGACACTAGTTATTGAGCTGTAAACCCACCAGAGACTGACGGACTGTAGCACGACTGTCTGTTTCCTTCCTCTAGGATTGCGTATCATCTCATGTCAGCAAAACCTATAACAAAAAAAGGCATAATAAAGTTTGAGAATCAGTACTGTAAAATAGGGGTTTGGAGCCTTTTAAGCATGCAAACATCTGGCCAAATAATGTTGTAATAATTTGCACTGTTTCACAACTCTATTGCTATTATTATCACTTAAAGTCCCAGACATTCCTCAAAGTGTGTTGATGCTCAGTAATTTTGAAAAAAATAAAAGGGTTGTACAGAGAGACAGCAATTTGAGGAAAGAGAGTTGGGAAATAATATGCAGCAAACGTTCTGGGCAGCTGGGAATCAAACCAGGTTATTTCTTATCAGGGCATTTGCACACGTTTTATGCGCCCCTGTAATTTTCCAATGCAGAAAAATAGAAGAATATTGTAACCATAATTGTGACCCATTTTTTAACTGAAATGTTTCCATAACATTTATACTAGGTAGGTCTCATATTGATTTACACATCTGGTTGTTTCCAGGGGCGGCAGGTACTGTAGGCTAGGGAAGGCTAAGCCTTCCCAAATACTTTTGTCGCATCCTGGTAAAATACAAATATAATGTATAATGTTTGTGCCTTTGATATTAGCGCTGCTATGCAGCCACCTGTGCCCTCTTCTACGAAGCCAGTTCAACAGACCCTGGATATATTTGAGTTATCTTAACTAACCCTAACAAACGAGATCTCGCTAAGCGGTCCTACGACGCTGGTTATCAACTCGGTAAATCAAGCCAGGGTTTCTCTCTCCAGCTGAGAGCGTGTTCACGTGAAAGGGGGGGGGGGGGGGGTTAGCAACATTTGACCAATCACAAACAGGGACAAGTGTACTGACAGCGCAGCGTCATACTTCATTAAGGAAAAGTAAACTAATATTAGACAAATATGAACTTTAAACATCCATGACTTAAACATATAATCCAGGATACAAGCCACAGAGTTGCTGCAAGGTGAATACAGAACAACTGGTTAAAAAATAAATAAACTACCGAGTGTTTGAAAGCGTCACTGTCACTGATATCACTGCCCCGTCCAAGACACGAGTGGATCTGACTTTAATTACATTTGAGTTGAGTGTTTTGTCAACTTAATGTGTTGCTTAAAATAATACTTCTGCATACAGTATGTGACACTGTGAGTGTTGCACGGCCAGATACGGCTGGAGAAGCTGACTCAGATAAGGAGATATATGATAGGCCTATATGATATTATATGATCGATGATGTGATTAATGATGTAATATGAATGATAAGTGCGACACGTCGGTGTCTTCTCTGCATACGGCAGTTTAAACTGTATTTCCTTTATCCTGTAATATGACTTGATAGATTTAAACTCTGCACACTGAGCTCTGATTGGTCAGCAGGCGGTGCTTTCACTGAGTTGATCTCTTTTCTATAGACGCTGGAGGCAGGCAGCGTCAGGTAAAAAAAGTTATTTAGCCTTCCCAAACCCTAGCCTCACGCGCCGCCTATGACCAAAGTGCAAAATGCTGCAAATATTTCAATACGAAAGCTTTTTGGTAATATTGAGTTTTTACATGCTAAACCAACATTAAGTTAAAGTATATAATTGAGTAGAACATTTAACAGACATTCCTGGCAGGTAATTTCACCCCCTGTTAATGATCAGTGTGATGAAGAGGTGCAGATTGGGTGCAGACCAAGCAGTTGCAGGGACGGGTTGTATCAACCATAATCCACACTCTGAGTAGTAGTGATTGAAAATGTCTTCTTTTTACTTTTTTGTACAACTTTTACGAAATTCCCAATCCTAAATGAAATACGAAAAGATTGCGGTAATTTTTCAGACAAAAAAATATGTGTAAGAGTATTACAAAAAATGTAATACATGAATTAGCAATTACATAGAGTATGTGCGCAACAGACAAAATCTGCTCTTGCATAATAACTTGAAACATATTTATTACAATGAAAATGATGTTGCTTCAGCACTGGACCCTATTTGTCCCAGTAGCAAAATGTAACATAAAATATACAAATACAAAAATACATAATAAAATGTACTCTCTCACAAGGATTTCCCTGAATTGTATCTTTCCCCCTAACATAGCATTTATTTATTTAGTGACGTCCTTGAAATTTAAAAAAGGAAAATGTCTCTGCATGTAATGTATACTGTAGATAGAATATTGCCCTTTGGGATTTTCATAGGATTTTGCATTTTTGGGAAATCTGAGTTGACATTTTTTTTTTATTGACTGTTATATCATGAAACCCGTTGCATGGTAAATAATTCAGGCTAAATCCTCTTCCTCTCGCAAGCATCTGGGATTAGTCAGCGGTTTATTATCCTCCTATACCCTTTACAATGTGACAACCTATTGAAGAGACGTAATATGGGAGTATCCGCCCTACTGTACATGAAGAAAATTATCTTAACTTTATTTTCAAATCAAAAATCAAAATCTGATTTTAATTTGGGATAATTTTGGAAACATGCTTGATCTGATCCCATCAAAAATATACAATGTTAACAGAAAAACGCGTCATAGTTGCTGTGCATTGCAACTGAAATAAACAGTAACTTAATTTACTTAATGTACTAAATATGGACAATTATTGCTTCTTAACACTGATTTTAGGATTCAGAGGTATCAAAAAAGCTTTAGAAATACTGGTTATGTAACAACTCAAATGTATTTTCGCTGTATTTGTACTGTTAATTGAAGGATACATTTATATGTCTGTTTCTATAAAAGAAGTACAGGTGAAATTAAAATTGAAATACAAAATTACTGAGTGATGCAAAATTGTAGATTAACAGTCCAAGTGTTGAAAATGGCGTCGGCGTTAAAATACTTTCATTGGTACGCAGCCATGAAGTCTTCACGGCTCGATGTTCACTGGACATTTTGTCCATTTCCTGTTTAGAGGATGGATAAACATGATTTCAACAAACTCGTGCAATCTATTTCACTTACGTTTTTTTTCATGTTGTGTAAAAAGAAACCATACATTAAAACTATTTTCTTTAATAAATAATTAATAAACTTGCTGTAAGATCAACATAAGCAACAAACAACTGATCAACGTTACTAATTCATGTTTGTAAGAAAAATGTGCTGTCCCAAACTAGGTTGTTTTTGAATAATTACATAAACAAAACAAAGTCAATTAAGTTTCCTCTGCTAATGCCTCATCATTGGATTGGCCGATCTGTAACGAAAAGCGTTGGTGAGAAGCAAAGTTGGAGACATAGAAATTGTTGTATTTTGGATTTTAACGCAGCGAGTGTCAAGCTATTTCAAATCGTTGATCCACCATCCAACAGAAAATGATGAACGTATTTATTTTTGATGATGACCGTCCTCTGAACAAGTTTTAGTTTTGAAGCAATATTCGGTCGTATTTGTTATCAATTAGTGTTGTTTCCCAAAAACGGGACAACTGATGTACGCCATATTCCCCCAACGCCTTCAAGCTTTCCATCGTCCCATACCTAAGCTTCAAATGACGAAGAGATGCAAAGGCTGAACATGCACGGAACTTTCAAAATGGCAACTTCTAGTGTAGATAACATCTAAACGACCTAACAAAATTAAATATCATGAGGAAACTCAGCAGGACGAACAGTTCGCACCTACCTGGGCCAAGACAGAAGGGACCGGGCGGCAGAGGAAGCCAACGTTTCATCACATCCATGAAGCGGCGAAGAGAAGAGGATGGACGCACACGTGGCTCAGATCAAACCAACCACCGGCCTCGGTCCTCACGCCATCCAATGTCCCTCCACCCCCCCACTCCTCCCATCCCGTGCTGTCTCTCCTCCCGTGTCCTCCATCTTTTAAAGATCCTCTCCACTTGGATGTTGTCTGTCCCCTCTGAGTGCCACATTTTCCCACGATGCCATTCCTCTGGGTAAATCCTCTTCTCTTCACTGATACATTTCATGTCTTCATGCAAATCAAGCCTTTTCCAAGACACTTCCTACTTAGTTTTTACTTTTGCATGCATTGCGAAGAATCCAAAAACTATACTGCACTAGGGGTGCAGTACAAAAAAACCTATGTAACTATGAACAAATCTAGAAAAAACATGTAGGTTTAAGACCTTGTGCAGGCAAAGGAAAGGCAAAAGGAAAAGCAGCTCTACTCCTCGTTCTCCTCACAACGTAACTCTTTTTCACAGTTTGAGAGCACTGTGGATGCACAGTGGGGGGACACAAGCATGAGAATGAGTCAGTGGGAAAAAAACTCCTATATAAATAAATAAGGGAAGGATGCCACTGTTGCTATACAGAGCGAGGGGCTTAGTGGTCTCCTGAAATCCTATTGGCCGGCCTGTTGCCATGTGCTCAGGAGTCAGCAGAGATGCTGCTAACAAATCAAGGAAATGTTCTAATATTAGACTGTATGTATCTAGGCAGCAGGAGCCCCTGACCTCTCAACTCAGCCAGCGTTACTTTCCACTTCACAGATCAGCATAATGAAAGAAGTGGTGTGGAAGTAACCGGTTAAACATTTTTTTTACGGCACTGTACACAAAACAGCAGACACAGCCCCCCACCACCCCAAGTCCCTCCATGATATCCCAGTCTGTACAGTTACAAGCCGACAGAGAGGAAACACAGATTCATCCTCTGTTGATGTCTGATATTTATGAAATGCATACTGTAGATACACGTTAGGACCACAGTGGTTCTGTAGACAATTTGTCAAACATATACAGTTTGTAAAATATATTTTGTAATCATGTTGAAATCATGACATTTTTCTAACGTTGTCATGACATTTCCAAGGTCCATGCATTAAAAATTAAACATATAGTCACTAATGAGCAGAAACAAAAATACATTTATTTTTAAAGCATGCTGCTTATTGCTTTGGTTATGTATCCTATTTTACCTATAGCCTGCATTTGTTATATACTTAAAAATATCTAATCAGCTTTTTTCGTTCTGTTCAGATGTTTAGGAAAACAATCACCAAAACATTTTTCGAAAGACCCCTTGAGAATAGCTCCATCCTTATTTCTAATCTTTTCTGATTATTTAGCATTGTTGAACAAAATTTGCAGCAAAACCATCTTTAGGATTGTATTAAATAATGAGTAATGTTTTTACTTTAAAAGAGAATGCACTTCACATTTACATTTAACAGATAATATCTCCGGTAGTTGCTGATTTAGTTTACTATGCGGTGCTTCAACAGCTGGTAAGTAAATGCTCCCAATACAATGGTGACTGATGACATCAAGGTTAACCAGAGAATGCAATTCCTGAAGAAATTGCTAGTGGGAATGCTTTATGCTGAAAAGCTGACGCTAAACTGCTACGCTGAAATGTAACGTGTAAGAAGAAAGTGAAGAATATAGATTGAAATGATACATGAACACTGGGGGCTTGAATGTGTGATAAGAGAAGAAAATAAAGTAAAAAAGCTTGGAAAAGCAGCAGAATATTTGAACTGCAAACTATTGAACTAACTTGATGGCTAATGATCTGTCGCCATGGCAACGGTATTTGATGACACCCCATAATACGCTTAGATATGTTGATGGCTGCATCGTTACCAAACCTGTGAAGTTTTGGGCTGTTAGGATCATTTTCACTGAAGTTATGAGAAAACCGTGTTTCATGGCGAGCATTGTGTTGCCATGGCAACAAAATTTGAAGAAATCTCAAAACTGTCCCGTAGATGTCTTCACGGCTGGACTGTTAGCACACATGTGAAGTTTGAGCACTTTTTGAAAATGTTCATAGGAGTTATAGCGACATCGTGTTTTATGGCGAGGGATGTATTTCCATGGAAACGGCATATGATGACACCCCATAATTGACACCCCTAATTAAGGCGTTACGACAACATCGTGTTTTATGGCGAGGGATGCGTTTCCATGGAAACAGCATATAGTGAGATGTCAGATTTTACGTAGAGCTGTTTGAGGCATGGACCGGTGATATACAAGCGACGTTTGGGGGACGATCGGACCGTGTCCATTGGAGTTACAGCGACATCGTGTTTTATGGCGAGGGATGCGTTTCCATGGAAACGGCATATGATGACACCCCATAATTGACATAGAGCTGTTGAGGGCAGGACCATTATCTGAAGTCTGCTGTTTTATGGCGAGGGATGCGTTGCCATAGTAACACCACATTACGTAACATCAGATTTGATGTAGAGCTGTGTTAACCATTATCTGAAGTCTGCTGCTCTGAGCATGTCAATTGGAGTTATGACATCATCGTGTTCCATGACACAGTTGTTTATATCGTTATCATAACACCTGTGCTTGAGCCCAGAGATCAACGTTTTCCATGGTGATGTGTGGCCTTTTTGGCAGATTAACTAAAGGTGTCCGGCTGCTGCTGTGAGGAAAGATGAGCCTGAATATACAATGGGCTTTAATGGAGAATTGTTGAACGTTTTTTTCATTTCATGCTTTATTTTTTATTCAAGCTACGAGATGTTTTCCTACGTTTCTCATGAATAATTATGTCTCAGGAATGTAGGGTTTGGGAATTATGGCAGATTTAAAAAAAAAAAAATATGAAGGCAAATGTCAAGCTGTCCTCCACTCTAGTTGTGACATCATGCACTCTAAATCTGAAGAAGGCATCTTTACTAAGGTCTGAACAATGTTTAATATCTCTAAAAGTATGAATCAGATTTAAAAGTTGTGTAACATGAATAATGTCAGAAAGATGTGTAACATTTTAAAGTTGGAATGAGGTCTGAAGAGTTTCTCCATTGACTTCCATGTTAAAAAAATGATGAATTATGGGATATATATCGGGAATTATGAAAGTTATGAATGAGAAAAGTAATAGCAATCGATTCCCGACCGAGCTGAACGTTTTGATGTTTGAACAGAGTTTCTGCGATGTGGAATGTGGGAGAAGAAGACGGCTATGGAGCTATTTCAGGGTCATAAGTTTTGATCATTCAAAAAAATACAATTTATTTGAAAGTCCAAGTTTTCATCCTGAACTTTGAAAAATACAATGTTGTATTTGAAATAATTGTTCAGGTTGAATATTATTTTTGATTCAGTTCAGCAATTTTTTTGAATAAAATATTTATTTTCATATTTAACTTTTATACATATTTTGATTTTGATATTTCAATACTTGTTTTTTTCAGTTTCAGATTTTACGTTTTCAGATTCAAAACAATTATTTTTTCAGCTTAAAATCTTTTTTTTTCAGGTTTCAATTATTTTTTCGCTTTCAGATCTTTTTTTTTCGCTTTCAGACTTTTGACCCTGATATTGCTTCGGGGGGCGGGGCTTACCAAAAAGTAGTTTGGCACCCTGAGTGACAGCCCTCCATCTGTCATGATGCCTTCATGGATGTTAGGTAGCGCAAGAAATACAACTACACACTTTCTATACACAATACTCCCGTGATTGGTGGTAAACGTTCCGTTAAGCGAGCTTTTGAGCATCGTAGTTGGCAAAAATTGCGGTATAAGAGCAATAAACTGCTAGAATGTGAAATTACGTATCCGCAATTAAGCATTGTCCTTCCCCACTTCCACGTAGCTCCGTGAACGCAGCATAGTATTGGCTTGGCTTTTGCGATAGCGTCAGGTCCACCTGCTGGCTCCATGGCTGGAACCAGCGCACAGGTAAGAAATATTAACTTTTTTCCATTCATGGTCTTAGAAGTTATCCAAGAGCATGATAATAATATTATAGCGACATACATAAAAGGAAGGCAGGCCTTTTGAGGTGGGGAATGAATGTGGCAACGCGGGAAACTAACCATGGCATTGAGGCTACTCGTGTAGGCTATGCTATTAGCTATAGTCAGTGCAAGTGAATTTCCCTTATGTTGATAGAGTCCAGCTCACGTGTTTCTCAATCTGTTTTTGCCAGAGTGGCGACCGTAATTCATCTGTGGCTGCAGCAGCACACACTTTAATAACCGTGCTCACACAGCACCTAAGCCAGGGACAGCCGGAAGGAAGGAGGACCAGACACTGCCTGGTCCTTCTGTAGAGCAGGAGATGGCCAGGTTTTTGATTTTAATAAATATATATTTGTGTTTATCTACAGGTAAACTGCAAGTTGATATGTCCATTTATGATTATGTGCTAAACAACATTACTTTTTTGTTTAAATAATGCAGATCTTTCCCTGGATTCTTTGTGAAAAAAAATTACATTTTATGTTTACCTGTTAAACTTGAATGCAGACAGTACCCCAACAGCATCGGAATAATTTGCGCTTGCCCAGGCGGGACTGGGCAAAAGACATATCGATGCCCCTGGACGTGAGCCATGAAGAGGTATTGTATAAAGAAAACCACATTTATATAACCTGTGTTCATATTTGAAACTTGGAGCTTATTTGTTGAGTTGGTTTGGTTTCAAGAACACCCTATTTTATTGTTTCCTTAGTTCTTCAGTCTCCTGAAAAAGGAATATCCAAAGTTGCAGGCGCTGGATGGAGGATGGCTCCTCTACAAATCAACAGGTGCGAAAAATGTGTAGGATAACATTCATTGTAATACATTTTCATTTAAATATTGAGCTAAAAGCAACTGAAATGATTCAAACAATGTAAATTACAGGAGGTCAGGGTAAACAAAAACTTATAATGATTCCGCCTGACTCGGACGGATACACCGGCACACTCCTCCGCAGTGTCACAGGGGCAGGGAAGAACACCCTGTATATTGTCCCTCTGCAGCATGAATTTGACTTAACACCTTTGCCCGCGGATGCTGTAGAGTTCCAGAATATGCCAAAAGCCCAATGCCAAACATGCAAGTTACATTTTCCTCTGCAAATTTTGACTCTGCATGTCCAGGAGTGTATGGAGGAGTGTCTATCATCGGAAGAAGACATTGAGGTAAATGTGGGCATGAAATATATGTAATGTTGCATTTTAATAGTACAACTTGCTTTAAATATTTTTGTATTCAGTGAGTTATAACATATGTGTTGGGAATATTTTTTGTTTGTTAGACAACAAGTGTGGTGGAAATTGTTTCAGTCATGCACCCTGTGCAAAACCATACAGAGAAATCTCTTGAAGAGGTAAAGGACTGAATTGTATTGCACTGTAAAATTGCCTATATAAACTTGATACAGCTGCTAATATTTAAACTTTTACCTCCATCAGAAGGTGCCATGTCCCATCTGCTTCGAGAGCTTCACACCACAGTTTTTAGAAATACATGCAAGCATGTGTGGAGAAAGGTATTTTAGAGCGAGTACATTAAGGTTCATTTTACATGTTTTATATTAACGATATACATCTCCTTTGTACTTTTTTAGAGATCAACATGTCCGTCTGGATGAGAAAACTGACATGGGCCACAACAATGGAAATGCAATGGAGAGGCAATTCGAAAGGTAAATACTGGGTTCTTCATTCTGCTTGGATCTTCATTCTAAAAAAAGCTCTTTATTCAATATCAGTAGTTTACGCCTGTTAATTATGAGTTTTATTTGGCAGTGTTGATGACGTATTGGACACAATCTCTGGAAGAGTAGACGTAGAGAAACGTTTCAATATACAAATCTCACGAACAAACATTCTCGAAAGAGGCCTTCTAGTGGCAGCGTCAAAAAGGCAGTTCACCCACAGCTACCCTGAACGTGACCTTCTTTGGGGAGGCAGGAGTCGACACAGGAGCCCTCCGAAAATAATTTCTCACAGGTAAACAAAAACAACAATTTTTGCATTCTTACATTTGACTCTTAATTAAAATAGTCTAGAATTATGGATAATGTCTGTGAAACTTTGGTTGAAGGGCTGATTAACAAAGACTCATGAAAATGTTTTTCTTTTAGTCTTTGTTATATACTACTTAACCTTTTTTGTATTTAAACGGGGTTAGACATTAATAAAATACTTAGTATCCTGATTATTAAAGTAAATGGTCTTTGTACTTGTGTGTAGAAGTGGTGGCAGGAATTGAGGGTTGTTTCTTTGAAGGACCTCAACAGCAGCGGATCCCACGGTACTCTCTGAATGACTTGGACAGTGACCTCTACAGGTTTGTTTACTTTTAAGCATGTACAGTAAGGACCAACTGTTCATTTTTGATAAATGTTCTATAACATAAAAAATGCATTCATGCTCAATCTGTGTTAATAGGACAGTGGGAGATATTTTGGCTGTTAGTTGGCCCCGCCCCTGCCTTCTTCAGCCCATGGACTTACAGTTACCTCTGTAGTGGACGTATAAACCAGAAGGTTCTCAACAGTGATTCAGTGGCAGATGTCCAGCTGAGAGTTAATTGACCAGGTATGAGTTCTATATTATGTAAATGCTGGGTTAATAAGAAATAAGCATTTATTTTCCAACTATAGTCATAGGTTTATATTGAATATAGTAAAGAGATGTACTTCTCGGTTTTCAGGTTGAGTCGGCGACTGAGCATTCAATTATAGGCCTATCTGATGAAATATTGAATTGTGGATATACTGGAAATGTCTCCATTCCAAACAAGGACACCATTGTTCGGTATGCTTGACACTTATTTATTTTTGTATATTAAAAGATGTTACATGTGTACCTTTTTATTAAGGATTGCATTTACTTTGTAATTTTGTAGTGCCATCATACTCCACGCAATGCTGCGGCTGCGCCTATGTTGGAACAACTAAGGGAAGGCTTGCAGCTGTATGGGCTCCGTTCACTGATGAGTCAGTACCCAGATATCTGCCAGCCCTTGTTTGTTTCTGGGGAAGATGTAAAACTGAGCAGAACAAAAGAGACCATTCTTTACAATTTGATATTAAAGTTAAGGAGTAAAGAGTACATCATTTACATCTGGATTTGTTCTCATCATAGGTCAATGCAGAGTTTGTCATGACATCCATTCTTCCTCAACTGAGTGACAAAGGGACTACCAGGCATCAGGTTGAGCTGGAGATGATGAATTTCATTCAGGACTTCCTATATGAAGGTATAAAGTTTTCGATTTACTTCTAATGAAGATTTAAATGTAAGTTGTTTTAAATTACAAAAGTTGGGGTTTTAAATTTGAAGGCATTGGGCTTGGAAAAACATTCAAATGTCCTTGAATTTAATGTTTAAGTTGTTGTAGGAATCCTGAATTACACAAACTTCATTACCTTTTTTGGATCAGACGTTCTGTGTTGTGTTGTACCTCAGTACAATTCACTTGCACTAAAGGAAAACTACACTTTAAACTGTCATAATGGTTTTTGTTTATTTTCCTCATAGCTGAAGATCATGGGCATGTAGATAAAGATGGCCTACATCCCATCACACCTGCAACGTTTCTGCAGTGGATCACAGGCCAGGGTCACGTCCCACTTCTTCCCTCAGAGAAGAAGGACTTTGCAGTTGTGATCCAATTCAATCATGACTGCAGTGCAGACTTTGGGCATCACAGTGTATGTTACCCTGTTGTGACAGCATGTGCCAAGACAATCACCTTACCTGTGAGACATATGAGGCCCTATGACAAATTCAAAAATATCCTGACTGAAGCGTTTCAATTAGGCCAAGAATTTAGCAATGTGTAATAAGGTAACCATTAACGACCTCTGTTCCAAGTTAACCTTACTGTTTAAGTGTTAAAGGTTTAGCATTGACTGCTTCCAGTCAAGTAATCTTAAAAAAAAATGTAATGGCAGCAATAGAGTGGTGCAGTGATGACGTGTTTTTGTAGGCTGACCCGGAAGTAAGCTGCAAGGGTTCCCTCAACAAAAAAGCAGTGGGATTTCTCCATACTGTAGGATATCCCATTGCTTTTTGTCGAGGGAACCCTTGCAGCTTACTTCCGGGTCGAACTACACAAATACGTCATCACTGCACCACTCGGTTAAACATTTCTTAAAGAAAAACAAACAAATTGATATAATGTTGTAACATGTTGCTACCCAGAACTGTGATATGGAATATAATAAAATGTTAAGGGTGTAAAGGTGTTGATGTCTAAATGGTTAAACCCTTGAAACATGTTTGCATTTAGGATGCATGATTTAGTACATGGTTCAATACAGCTAAATAAATGTCTCGGCCGTAGGACCCAGATGGTCTTGTAACATCAATATTGGCCAAAAGTCCTGCCATATCCTGCTCACTGAGGGGACAGGTGGGAGAATCACTCCAGGACTGGACCCATCTGGCAGTGTTGAAATCAAGATCTGCATCCTCTATTTCCTTGATAAAAATTAAATATCAGTCATGGATTTTAGGGGACCAAGAATAACTTTAAGCACCACAAACACTAGAGAATGTAAAGAATAAAAACAAAACACTTTTTTGCCTTTTCAATGGTACACCTATCAAAAGAGGTGATTTTGAGGTCTTACAACATGCATTTCAAGTGCAGTCCCATGCTTTGCATTTTACATTAGTAAGCAAGTTTTATGCAATTTTAAAGAAAAATATCTATCTTTCATTTATTTGATGCTAGTGATTGTAAATTCCATTGAAATATGACAAATATAATTGTTTCCTTCCTCCTCGCCCAAAGGTTCAATACTAATGTAATGAACAGCGAACAGTGGCAATGTCAATTTCTTTCATAATATAAGTTTAATGGAGTTCCTTTAATTTAGTTAAGCTGTTTTAAGCACAATACTTTGGTCTAATATATTTTAGTTGAAATAGTTTGAGAACACTGGCCAAAATTATGTTGATACAATTTTCTTGAAATAAACATGTAATGAGTACCTCTGCAAGGTCTGGAACATCAATAGGATTATGGAGGAGTCCCATTGTCCACAGTTGGTGTGGGGACAAATGTTGCTCTGCCCTTAGAGGGTGATTATCCCAACCCATCCTGAAGACATTGAGATCCTTCTGAAGACACGGAAGAAATACATGCTGGGCACAGAACATGTGGATGCTATCAGACGGATCTAGAACACCCTCATCCTCCAGGCTGTGAAGAACCTCGTAGTGCACGTTTGAAACAGCCATCCAAACATCTCGCCACAAACGTTCGATTCTGTTCAAATAAAATCATCAAATTACACTCAAATTGGACAAAGCACAGTATATTCACAAATGATGGCTTTGTGTTTGTCATTGTTTGACATTACTTCAAAAAATGTACCTTTGATTGTGCACACTTTTCCCTGACATGAAGCTTCCCCTTCCACAGCCCCTTATAGTGAACATGCAAACATATGCCAACATTTTCCACTCCTTGGTCGGCTCTTACTCTTAAAAAGATGAATCACACACATGAAATAAAACATTACAAAAAGTTATGACATTGCCATTTTTAAGATTTCTTAATGTAGAAGAAAATAGGCAAGTTATTTTTATTATTATCGTTTTTTAAAGACAGGTGAAAAATGAATATGTAATGGTATAATGCAAATAATCCTAAACATGGTTTGTTTGGAGAGACAGAAGGTGACTTAGTCATCAAGTATTCTATACGATATATTTTATCATCAATAGGGCTTTGGACAGATTGAGGTTGGTTTCACTCAGATTTATTTCGAGAGTCGTAGTTACTTCCTGACTCGGTAGTGAATAATTCTTGGGTCATTTCAATGATCAAAACATTGATCATTGTAAGTGTTATACAAACCATTATGCATCTTTTAATGACAGATAAGGCCCAAATTACTAAAGAGTACAACAGGGAGCCATTACCTTAATGGAAAGCCATACTTTTGCACACCCTCCAAGAAGAAGTCAAGTGAAGTCGATGCTTTATTATTAGTGGCAGCACCCAGGTACATGATCTGCAGCAGAGAAAATTATTAAGCAGAATAAATAAAAGCAGATCTCTAAATGTGTTTAAAAACCAACACCAGACATTCTTGCTACAAGGTTTAAGATGGATACAAACTAAAAATATAGATATTTTGAAAGGAACTGTAAATCATGCATCAGGTTTAGTTATTGACCAATAACTGTCATTATCTGACTTATAAATAATCGTTATTTGTGAAAACAAAATTACCTTCCGTGAGAAGCCATCAATCCCTCCAAAAATAACAAGACCATATCTTTAAAAAACAACACAAAATCACTTTTAGTGTCTGTTATTTATTATGCAAACAACTTTGACAGGGCATTTTAAAACATAACTTTTTTAATTTGTACTCTATTATCCTTTATTGTACATAGCATGTTAACATCAAATGTGTGGCGTACCTGATGAGTTTATGATTTGTGTCGATGTGTACCAAGTGCAGAGGACCCTGAACAGAATATGTCCTTCTTGCAACACACCCCACCCTTGCCATTCTTGTGAGTACACCCACAGAATCAACACGATGCATTGATGAAGACACTCTCTTCCATTGCACACGGTGACCCATGGCCTTCAGGATTCCTTTCATCATTCGATATCCTACATGTGGTGTCCTGGCCTTAACTGACCGAACCAAATTGTCTAGTTCATCATCAGTTAGGGTACTGTAGGACTGTTTTATGGAAAGGCCATTTTCATGCATGCGCCTTTTGACTGTCTTCTCAGATACACCCAGAAGTTTTGCTATGGCTGGTAGGGACAAGTCTTCTATTAAGCCTTGTAGTTGTTGAGGACAGACAACATATTTTGGTCGTCCCATTTCTCCTTGCATTACTGGCACCTGATGAGTGGTCTGATTAGAGATGTCTTCAAGATTGACAAGTCTTGACAGCTCAGTCAAAGCATTGATGATATCCTGTGGCATATCAACCTGGCCTGATAGCGACCTAAAAATAGCCATCTCCTGGTCCACTGCAAACTGCAAATAGTCAACATCTAAGGGCAGTCTTTGCGTGATCTGGGAAATTCTAGTCAGTAGTCTCTGAAGAAAGTCCCTTTTCAGTTGCTCCTAGAATTGACAAACATCAATTTACCATATTGCACTGGATTAGTTCATGTTCAAATAATAAACAGCATGAAAACTATCGTTAAGGACATGTGCAAAGAAAATGACTGCAACAATTATGCTTTGTAAACAAACTCTATAAATAGGTGATCAAATCAAAACATAATGTAAGTTATTACCAATCATTTAAAGAGAGGTGCTGTGTGAGCACGGTTATTAAAGTGTGTGCTGCTGCAGCCACAGATGAATTACGGTCGCCACTCTGGCAAAAACAGATTGAGAAACACGTGAGCTGGACTCTATCAACATAAGGGAAATTCACTTGCACTGACTATAGCTAATAGCATAGCCTACACGAGTAGCCTCAATGCCATGGTTAGTTTCCCGCGTTGCCACATTCATTCCCCACCTCAAAAGGCCTGCCTTCCTTTTATGTATGTCGCTATAATATTATTATCATGCTCTTGGATAACTTCTAAGACCATGAATGGAAAAAAGTTAATATTTCTTACCTGTGCGCTGGTTCCAGCCATGGAGCCAGCAGGTGGACCTGACCATGGACCTGACGCATGACACATTCTAGCACAGTTTATTGCTCTTATACCGCAATTGTTGCCAACTACGATGCTCAACAGCTCGCTTAACGGAACATTGACGCTGGTATCAGTTTGTTTACCACCAATCACGGGAGTATTGTGTATAGAAAGTGTGTAGTTGTATTTCTTGCGCTACCTAACATCCATGAAGGCATCATGACAGATGGAGGGCTGTCACTCAGGGTGCCAAACTACTCTTTGGTAAGCCCCGCCCCCCGAAGCAATATCAGGGTCAAAAGTCTGAAAGCGAAAAAAAAAGATCTGAAAGCGAAAAAAAAGATCTGAAAGTGAAAAACGATCTGAAGGTGAACTGAATCAAAATAATATTCAACCTGAACAATTATTTCAAATACTTATTTTTATTTTGAATACATCATTGTATTTTTCAAAGTTCAGGATAAAAACTTTCAAATAAATTGTATTTTTTTGAATGATCAAAACTTATGACCCTGAAATAGCTCCATAGACGGCCCAAATAACCCGGCGGAATAATAAAGAATTGTGTGCGTAGCATAACAAGTAGTTGGAATGCTGTATCACTAAAGGACAGGATAATTAGATGTAAATAGATTAGGAATATTGTTTTTCCCCAATTCTACTCAAATACATTATACATGTGTCTTTAACACTGCCATGATGTTACATTGACTACCACAGTTTAATGCTACAAGTCGTACTGTGCACTTAATTGAAAAAATGTAATGTTACATTTAATCAACACTTATTTAAACTATGACCTATTGTAAAAAATGTAATATTGTTGGATCACACAGTAAACTGCATTTTATTACCACTGCTAGTTTTGTTTAGTTTATTATTTTTTTTCTTTATTCTTATTTGCTATCATTGTACAACAGCATCTAGAATAGCATAGACGTTAATTTCATTTCATTTCAAACCTTTATTTATACAGATAAATCCCATTGAGATCATTGATCTCTTTTTCAAGGGAGACCTGCTCAAGTAGTTCCACATGAAACATAAATAAAAACATAAATAGAACAACAAAAGGACATCATACAGCATTTACATAATTATGCACATAAACAGGTACCAATAGCTTCTGATTGACTAGCATCCAACCGAGCTTTAAAAACATTTAGTGGCACCAGATTGTTCAGTTTCCATTTAATTTGCAAACTATTCCAAGACAGAGGAGCTGCGCATCTTAAAGCTGTCTTCTTAGACAGTCCTAGCAGTTGGCATATTTAATAAAACCACAGCATTCGATCTCAGGCAGTAGCCACTTACAATTTTCCGTGAGATCAGGGAGCAGATATAAGATGGAAGTTTCCCTAACATGGCTTTGTATATAAAAATGTACCAGTGACTGAGCCTCCGTACCGTTAGTGAAAGCAAACCAGCCCTTGCATACAGGGTACAGTGATGGGTTAATGCTTTACAGTTTGTCACAAATCTTAGTGCACTGTGATACGCAGCATCTAACTTGACCAGGCAATTGGCAGGTGCATTCATATAAATCAAATCACCATAGTCCAGCACAGGTAAAAAGGTCACAGTGACTAGCCTTTTCCTGGCCTCAAGCGAGAAACAGGACTTGTTCCTGTAGAAGAAACCTAGCCTAACCCTCAGCTTTTTAAGCAGGTTATTGACATGAAGTTTAAAAGTGAGACAATCATCAAGCCAGATACCAACGTTGTTCTTTTAATACATAAAGAAAAAGGACAAGCAAAGACATAAGTGAGAATTGCTTCATGTTTATTTTAAATGTACATTTGCGTTGGAAAGAAATACATTAACCTAAATAATTATTACAGAAAGTTGTTTTTTGCAACAAAGCTATAGTAAAACATTATTTCAGAAAGGTATTGATCAATTGACTCTCCTTTGCTCCAAAAAGCAGCCATCGAAATTAACAACATTGCTTTAAGTCTAATGACAAAGCCAAAAAACAACAGCACCTGTGTGGCATAAAACAAACAGAAATAGACAAATAAAGTATTGGAATGACAATTAAAAGTCAACTGAAAATCATGGTTCCAGCGGCCCTTCTCGGGTAACGGTCAAATTAGATAAATACATAAATACTACGAAAAAAGCTTGATCGGTCACCACCACCATGAGAGACAGTACATGTTCATTTAATCAGTCGTCTGTTAAATTGCCTGCTGATGTAAAACATTTTCACTTCCTGATAGTGAGGTCAAGGAACTCCTTCCTTGTGGTGGGATTATCCTGAAATGTTCCCAGCATGACACTTGTAACAGTGCTGGCGTTTATCTTCTGCACACCTCTCATCACCATGCACATGTGGCTGAAATGCAAAAAGAAGTTGAAATTACTGTGATGATTTGCACAGAATCCATTAGATATGATAATACATATCTAATTATGCAAAACTATCATCATAGTTTCATGATCTTATATATTGTTATATACTTTAAAGTACATCCAGATGAGATTAAGATCTGATAAGAAACTAATAGGGATGAAACAAAAGGTAAATACTCACGCAGCCTCAATCACCACTGCTACTCCAGCCGGCTCCAGCGCCTCAGAGATGGCTGAAGCAATCTGTTTGGTGAGACGCTCCTGAACTGTGGAGAAAATGAACACTGTCACACACAAACCAAACCAGAAAAAATAACCGTTGAATAAGATAACAAACACATGTTTGTGCATAAAGTATAATAGCAGTTATTTTTACCTTGAAGCCTCCTACTGTATATTTCAACAATTCTGAAAAAAAAGAATATAATTGAATGGATGGTGGTTTGTGTGTGTGTGTGTGTGTGTGTGTGTGTGTGGTGTGTGTGTGTGTGTGTGTGTGTGTGTGTGTGTGTGTGTGTGTGTGTGTGTGTGTGTGTGTGTGTGTGTGTGTGTGTGGGTGTGTGTGTGTGTGTGTGTGTGTGTGTGTGTGTGTGTGTGGTGTGTGTGTGTGTGTGTGGTGTGTGTGTGTGTGTGTGTGTGTGTGTGTGTGTGTAGTGTGTGTGTGTGTGTGTGTGTGTGTGTGTGGTGTGTGTGTGTGTGTGTGTGTGTGTGTGTGTGTGTGTGTGTGTGTGTGTGTGTGTGTGTGTGTGTGTGTGTGTGTGTGTGTGTGTGTGTCATGGTTCCCTTAGGTCATGAAATCCCTAGGTTTGATAATTCAAGAGGAAAAAATAATTAAGGTCAATGAAGTTGTTAAACTGTTGTAACAGTAAATTACTTCCTTAAAATAAATCCTTGTCTCAAAGTATGCCATCTGGGGGCTTTGAGTTTGAGGAAATGTCACCTGGAAAGTCATTGAAAATATGTATTTTATTTTTTGTTTGTTTGTAGCCTTTATTTAACCAGGTGAAAATCCATTGAGATCAACGATCTCTTTTTCAAGGGAGACCTGCAGAATGTTATGTTTAAGAAGTTGTGGGAACCCTGGTGTGTGTGTGTGTTTGTTCTTTGATCACCTACCTAGCAAGCTTGCTTAGGCCAACCACTTTCTTATTTGGGAGGTATGCTATGTGAGCCTGGAGAATTAAAATAAACAAACATAAAAAGAGATAGAGTTTCATAAAATACAATATCATATCAGAACATGAGCATCTGCAAATAGTTAATAAACATTAACCTATATCATTGAAGAATTCAAGTTTATATCACATGTTTGTTTACCAGAAAATCCCTGACATTTAAAAAAGAAAGTCCTGCATAAGTGATCTGTATGTGTTTTAATGCAAGAGATTAATATAAGCCAGTACATTTTCATCAATTATACATATCTGTTTTTATTTACTTATCAATGCATAATTTCAAGACCCCAAATAGTTACCTTGCCAAAGAAGGGCACCAGGTGATGTTCACAGAGAGAAAACAGGTCGATGTCCTTGACAATCACCATCTCATCGTGGTTTTCATCAAAGATTGCGTCATTCAAGATATCTGTGGATTACATGTTTGCTTTATATTCTGTATTCACATTGGAGCAAAGTATACATTTAAATGTGATAATTGGTAAGGAACTAGCATTAGGCACCAAAAAGATAATTCATGAGCTTAGAATGTTTCAGAAATAAGACCTGGACAGTAAACCTTCTACATTGGGTAGTCATATCCTAATATCCTTGTTATTCTTTTCAAAACTCATATGGAGAGTCTTAACACATGAAAGTATTGAGATTTAGTAAGCACTAATGAAAGTGTGTTTTAAACAAGACAAAGAGGGACATCCATCCTAACCTTGAATGGTTTCTTTGTAGCCTTTGGTGAAGAACTGCATGGCTTTGGCTGCACGTAGGGGTGTACGTAGAAGTCCCTCCCGGTCGACGTCCTCTCCCAGCTCACTCAGTATGGTGGTATAAGCCTTCTCAATGTGAGAAAGCTTGTTTGAATCTGTATCATCTTTGGAGTCCTTCTCTTTCTTGCACAAACCATTATGTTTGCAGATGTTCAGGTACTTGTCTTCTCCGTTGATCTCTACGTCATGTTGGTACTCCATTCTGGCTCTTAGGTCAACTTTCAGTGAAAGATACTGCAGGGTACAATGTCTCAGAAAGGCCGTCCCCTGGTTCTTATATCCTACTTTGGGGCCCTCAGGCTACAGCATCACTGAAGCCTCAAGACAACCCATGCAGGAAATGATTACATGTGCACAATTGCTGATTTAAGCTCTTGAGTGAGCTTAAACTTTCACACTGACAAGGTATCGAATCACCACACAAATCAATTCTAAATTCCCTTTCATTAAATGCCATCAAACAGCATTTGACTGATCCTGTGATTAGTTAAAATACCTTGAAGTCCCATGCTCTGATTTGAGGTCATAGAACACTAGGTGTCTTTGAACAACCACCGCTCACATGCAAGCCTTATCAGATTATTGTAAAGCCTTTGTCTAGATTGAGCAGTTGAATAAAGTTGAATTAGATGTATTGCTAAACATGAGGAACATGTCTGAACAATTTTACACTGTGAAAAAGTGGGGGACATTCAGAGAAGTGTACATTTACTGGATATATTGTAATAAGCAGGAATGTGCTTTAGTCCACATAAAAAGTGAATTTCATAAACAAGAAGGATCAAAGATTTGTGTCTGTTTTAGTTGTCAAAGTAACATTAATCCTCAATTATTTCATAACAGTAAATCATCTAGATGTGCATGTTTAGCAGAGAAGAGCAATGCTAGAGAATCCTTATGAAAGATTTTTGGAAGCCAATACATTTGTAATGTGTACCTGAAAAAAACAACTGTTTATATTTTACAAAATGCTTTAAATAAACAAATTCTTGGCTTTCAGAATATGATACTTTTATTTCCAAAATAACACGATAAATACATTTTTAAGCTTGTAAGGGAAGAAGACAGCTCTCCCTCGCCACTCTGCTGTTCCACAGCGCCGCTTCCCCTTCCTCCGCTGAAATTATGAATGTAAGGCGTATAGTAATCATAGATAACACGGCAGGGTCCGTTACAGTTTGTTTTCATCTGATTTCAAATAAACAAAGTCTTGGCTTTCAGAATATTAAACTTGTTCGGCAAGTTTAATATGATAAATACAACTTTGAAGCGGAGAACGGAGTAACTTGACGTCACAGCAGGCATAACAACAGCCGGTGTTTCTCGTGAGTGTTTTCCCCGGGAAACAAATACAATACTCACAAACGCAAAAATACACAAACACACACACGTATACACCAGAGGTGGGGACTCGAGTCACATGACTTGACTCGAGTCGAGTCGCATATTTTTGGACTTGAGACTTGCTTGACTAACATTAATAAAAGACTTGACTTGACTTTGACTTGGTATTCATGACTTGAGACTTGACTTAAAGAGCAACTTGCAGGTTTTTTGTTTTTTTTACTACATTTATGCTTAACCTTGCCTGAAAAAAAATTACAATTAAAAATGTTAATGCAGGATTTGATATGTTTAACAAGACATACGGGCAGGAATTCAGAGGAAAATGAGCCGTTTTGAGCTCTGCTACTAAAAACGTAGTCGTACGTCAAACGCGTCTTATTGCGTCACATGGGGGAGCAACTTTCTCGGACTCGTTCTCTGCCCAATCCACGGTAGTAGTTTGTAGTTGGTTTGAGCGGTTGTGATTTAGTGAGCTAGTATTTTTTCGGTAATTTTACATTGCATTTCCCCATTTGTAATCATGGTGAGCTTGTGTTTGTGCAGGTTGCACAAACTCGAGCCTGTCAGGACATCGAGTCCACAGTTTCGCTCACGGGAAAAGGACCGGAGCTAGCGTTCGTTCCTGGGTGCGTTGTGCATCCACCTCCCTGCAGCACATACTCTCCACAGCTTTATCAGGAAAC